TTTAGTTATTTTATATGTAAAATATAAAATTACCTTTTTACCCTTTTAAAATTAGTCAATATTTGGTCAAACTTTTGATTTTTGGTCAACTAACAGTCAAACTAATAATTTTCATCTATTTGGACTCCAACTGCGACATTTTAAAAGGTTTGGTGCCGTGATTGACACAAATGAAATGTTTGGGTAAAATCTGTTACGTAATGAAATGTTAGGTACCGCTGCTGCAATTTTTCCTAAAAATAAATGCACATTTCTTGTAACAAATTCTTAAAAAAAAAAACCATGAGAAGTAATACTTTCTAAATAACAAAAAAATTTAAAATAAGGTAATCTCGTCATCCCCATTAATCTACCATTTTACTACAGTAGAAATCAAAATTTTAGGTATACTCGATAGCATCAACGATCATGCAAGGTGTCAAAATCTTGTATATCGACAAATGGGCATATTAAGAAAAATTCGGAGTACTATTGATCGTTTAGGTATATTAAGGGATAGTATAAGACAATATCTAGCAAAAAAGAGAGTTCAATTAACAATCGATACAAGTTTTTGGGAGCATGTTTGGTTAAATTTAAAGTAAGTAAAAGTACTTAAAATTTTAAGTACTTTAATTTTATGCTTTTATTCTAGACTTCTTTAATGCATATTGATATGTTAAAGTATATCACACAAAATGTGCTTGATTCGTTACACATACAAACATTTGAAAATGATTACAAAATATCTCACAAAATGAGGTCGAGTAAGAACATTTCAAAGAGACTCTCTAATTTGAAAAACCATATTTTGCAAAGAGCATTTATAAATTTGAAGAGTAAAAATTTTTAAATACTCCAACAAACTCTTTATCTTTAACACTTAATGTTACTATCTCCAAAAAATATTATTATTTTTCCTTAATTTTTATTTCTATTAGTTTTCCTCTAAATTATTATTTCTTCATTAAAAATTGAAATACTTTAATTTTATTTAACTATAAAAAGTGAATTTAGAGAGTCAAACTCACTCTCTATTTTATAATGTTAATAATTTGAAGAGTTTCTTAAAACATAAATTTAAGAGTTGACTCTTTAAAATAAAGATCATCTTACGTTTAAAGAGCCTTTTGAAATCGGTCTAACTATACAAAAAATATTTGTAAACGAAACAAAAAGAATATATCCCGATATCATACAATAAGCAAACATTTACGACAACAATAATATGAATATAAAAGTTTCTACTCTCAACTTCTTCGAATGCATCTTAATAATTAAGGATTAAATTTATTGATAGCCACCCAACATTATACTCAGTGTCATTATGAGCATTCAATTTGCTTTTGTTTCATCATGATCACCCAACTTTATACTTAGTGTCACTATGATCACCCAATTTCTTTTTACCATTTTCATTAATTTTAGAAGTAGTAAAATTATAACTTTGTATTATATATATATATAATAAATTTAAAAAATAATAATAACTTATTTTAAAAAATGTTCCTTAAAAAAATTTTAAAAAAAAATTATTTAAAAAAATGTTTTTAATATAAGATAAAAACTTATTTTAAAAAAAAATTACTTAGAAAAATAAAATAAAATAAAAACTTATTTGAAAAACGTTTTTAAAATAAAAAAAAACTTTTATTTTTGTTTTTTTTAAATTTATTTTATATATATAATGCAAAGTTACAATTTTATTCTTTTAAAATTAATGAAAATGATGAAAAAAAGTTGGGTGATCATGGTGAAATATTATATGAAATTGTGTGGCTATAGTGAAATAAAATTAATTGGGTAGTCATGGTAACACTAACTATAAAATTGGGTGACCATGGTAAGACAAAATAAATCAAATTGAGTCATCATGATGATATTAAGCACCTGTTTGGTGCACATTGTGGGAGCAAGAATGCATTTTTACTGTTGATGTGATGAGGAATATGTGGTTGAAAAAGAAAGAAAAGTTATTGATGTAATGAAAAATATTATTTTATTGAAGAATGTATAGTTGAAAATGAGTAGAAGAATGAGAATGAGAAAAATAATACGGTTCAATCAGGAGCTAAATTTAAAGTCAAGTTATCATTGATGAATTTAACCCTAATAATTAAACAAATCCTTGTTCTTGGTTATATGAATAGCCTCTTTCGGGCAAGGTGCTGGTGATGATTGTAATGGGCATGGACCTGACAAAAAGTAAAATATACAGCAACTTGTACATAACGCAGGCTTGAAGTGGAATTAATTCTGTGTTCTTGCCTTCACCGTGAAGATAAATATGCACTGATTGCAATAAATTTGAACAATTCCATAAGAGCAAGTGGGATAGAATGTCGAGTTCCAAATCACTAAGCACATGTTTGGTTGAACTACAAAAATTGATTAAAATATAAGTTAAAGTCGATAATTAATTTTAACCACACATTTCGAGAGTTCCACAATTTTTCAATCACACATTTTATCAACTTTTACCAAAATTTATTACAAGTTCAATTTTTATATAGGCTCAATCAAAGCTTGATTCGAGTTAATTTGATATGTGGGTTT